CTCTTAATTGTTAAAAACAATGTTTGTTTTTATATATATGAAATTCTTTTCTACCTAAATAGCTAGGGGAACTAAAAAATGAAAAACCTGGGTACTCAAGAGAATAAAACTAGGGGGACCATTGGGGGGGCCAACAAACGTTTAGGGGGGGCCATGACCCCCCACTGCTGGCGCCCCTGCTAGAGAAGACTAGTTTATCCAAGCTCACATGTTGGAGCCAGAGTTTGACCCAGAACCAGGGGACAATGAAGTCCAGTTGGTGTCCAGACTTTATTTAGAAGTTCTGTCTCAGAAACTGATGTAAAAGTCCAGAAACATCAGAGAAAACAGAAAAAACTGAACAGGTTGAAAATACGACCCAAACAGTTTATAAAAATCTCTCTGCAGCACCAGGACAAACTGAATTCAACTACTCTACCTTCTAGAGACTCCAAGTACACAAAAAAAGTATTTAATGTCTAAAAAGGTGTGTTTTACACCAAGTGTCCACTTTAAATCACTTCTTATGAAAACTTCCAGGAGCACATTCACAGCTGCGTTATTAAACTGTGGTCGATGGACGCAACGAGCAGGGTGGAAGAAAAGGACAGGAGTCCTGCATGTTCTCTGGTTGTCCTGCTCAAACACACCTGATTTACATCAATGGATGATCAACAGAGTTTAAGGAGTTAACTGAATCACTGAATCAGGTGTGTTGAAGCAAAGAAACAATGAAAACATGCAGGACAGCGGCCCTCCAGGACCCTCCAGGACCCTCCAGGACCCTCCAGGACCCTTCAGGATTAATGTTTAGCTCATTATTAAACAATATGAAGTGTTTGTCTGCAGGTCACAGATCAGTTTTTCCTGTCGGTTCTCAGAGAGGAGCTGTTTGCTGACATGGTTTGGTCCCACTGTTCACTCTCTGACCAGCAGTCAGTCCCTGCTGCACCAAACATTACTTACAGCTGTTGGTTCTGGATCTGATGATCTGAGCCCTGCAGCCAGTCAGGACCCAGTGGGCCCTGAGGAACCTTTGGACCTGTGCACCATTGACCTCTGACACTGTTTACCTGCACAACAGACTGGAGCTGCCTTTGTTCCCATTGGAAGAATGTTGGGAACATTTGGTGCAGAATTCAAAACATGAGTGAAAACAACTTAATACTTATTATTATTTAATCTTGTTGGGTTGTTTTACATCCTACAGGCTGTGAAATGTAAAATACTACGACAGCGTATTAGGGCCACACTGCAGAGGAAAAAAGAGGAGCAAATCTCAGGTGAAAAAACTCAGAATTTCTGAGATTAATTTCAGAAATATTTGAGAAAAAAAACAGGAAATTCTCTTATTTTGAAAAGTTGCAAATTTGCGAGGAAAAAACTCAGAAATCTCCATAATTAAAGGCAGAAATTTGCGACATTTAAACTAGATATTTTCTGACATGGTAAAGTCAGAAATTTACAAGAAAAAAACTTGTAAATTTATGAGAAAAAACCTGAAGTTTTCAGGAATAAAGGGTGATTCTTTAATCTGCTCTAGTTTAAAAACTAAAACACAGAGACTTCAGACCTGGATTAGATTATCCTACACTGATTACAGAATGTGTTTGGTTTATCAGATAAATTAATTATTGACTAATTATCTGGTGAGCGTGATGTGCTCTTGTTCTCAGTAAATGAAGCAAAGCCACTTTTTTATTTCATCAGACTCCCACACACCTGCAGGAGGCTCTGGATCAGTGTTTCCCAAAGTTGGGGTCGGGACCCAAAGTGGGGTCCTGAAACATCAAGGTGGGGTCC